CATTGTATCCGCTGGTGCGAACAGTGACCTACTCTTAGACTTCGAGAGTCAACTTCGACCCACAGCCTGGACACTTGCACATCTACCCCTCTCAGCCGAAGAAGCGAAGCAGTACCGGAACATGCCTGTGCTGTATGGCGTGGATCGCGGTTTCTTCATCGAACCCGACACCGAGACACACGAAATAAAGCTCTGCGATGAACACCCGGGATACATCAATCCAGTCATCAACGACAGTGGCAAGATGCGCTCCGTTCCGTTTGCGCGACAACAGATTCCGAGAGAAGCAGAAGCACGTATGCGACTTCTTCTCTCTGACACAATGCCACAGTTTGCAACCCGAGACTTGAGCTTCGCGCGTTTATGCTGGGACGTAGATACTGTGGATCGCATCTTTCTCATCGACAAGCACCCTAATGTCCAAGGCTTGATTGTAGCGGTCGGAGGATCTGGAAACGGCTTCATGGCATGCCCTGCAATCGGCTCTCTGGTTGCAGACATAGTAGAGAACAAGAGCGAAGGGAAGATGAGGGAAGCGATGCGTTGGCGACCAGAGATTTGCGCCGAGAGGGATTTGTGGGATGCGCAAGGGAGATATGGTGCTGAAGGCAAGGTTATGGATATCCGACAGGTAACAGAGTGGACAACGATGTGAGTCCAGCAGGCCTTTGCACGTCTCAGCTGCTCAAGTGGTTTTTTTCTAGACATGGGTTTCTCTATCATAGGCTTCTTGTCATCACTGATGCTGGTGTATAATCAAGAGAATGGCGGTGGAGGGCACGAGAACTACGCACTTTGATCTGGGGTAAAAACTGCTTGCTCGACCAAGCCTCTCGTGCACCGGTGGGTATCCATCAGACCGTCTCGGGGGGAATTGGCACCCAAAAATAGAGATTCCTACTGTGATTATGCATATTTCACATTCCTGTCATGGATGTTGCCTATCAAGCCGATGCTGGGAAATTGGTCAACTCGGTGCTGGATGGAATCATCAACATAGCCTCTAAACGTCATTGTGTGAAGTTTAATTACAGATGTGAGGCTGAAGGTTTCAGGCATCCTGCGGTAGAATTTCGCCGCTCGCATCTTAGGCATCCCGTCCCATCATCGGTAGTTATCACGGTGTACCCACCGCTACGGCTCAACTGCAACTCCCAGCATTGACATGCGTTCCCACGTGGGAAACATTCCTAGCGTCGTAGCCACTGTGGGGTCCGATGCTGGATGCTGGGGATTTTGTAGGTCGGCGATTATGGATTTGCAGGTCGGCGATTGAAGATTATGTCGGCGATTTGAGGCTGTGTTAACAAGCACTGCCACGTTTCACCCCTCGACATTCCTTCCGATTTCCAACGCCTTTCGAAAGAAGTGTTTGCTGTAAAGTCGCGATACCTAATAATAGATTTGGTAGGGATGAAGTTAACAGGTTGGTGTGAATGAGAGAAGCCGGCCCTCTTCGACAGTTAGATGAAGACTGGAGGCCCCACTAATCACACATCGTACAATGTCTTGGGTTCTGGCTAGAAATGGACTGATGCAGTTTACAGATCCGGAGCTGCGATGTAGAGGCCAAATATGCTTCCTGGTAAGGAGATTCGGCTTATGCCGCTGTCGAGTATGGGATGAAGGTTCCTAGGGCCGTTGCACGCCATTCGGACGGGACGTTAGGTCTTGATGCTTGACATACTGGGATAGCCGGTAGTCTTGGTGGTCGCCTAGACGGTCCATACCGGTGCGGCATCAACAAACACCCCTGACACTTTATTCATCCAATCGTATGACATCCTCAGTATGGTTAGTCTCATTTCAAGATCGGCTTCGGGCCGAGTCTTACAATGCTTGAACATGAGTTCTAGAAATGTTGATATGACTGTTGCATGACTCTTGAGAGAAAGCTGTCATGGAAAGCCTGAGAGCGGTTCAAATCCTTCGTTTGCGTGGATGCAGATCATCACCTGTCACGGTGACTATTGCCAGCTAGTCTTCACATCGAATGACAGCTTGTGCCGGGCTCCTCGAAACAGATGATGAATAGAGACTAGTGTATGTCTGTCGACACGGTGCAGGCTTTGGTCGGCTGTATGTTAGATTTGCGATGACATTCTGTCCTTTGCAGAGCGGAATCAGCCTTGCCTTAGTGCCTGATGACCACCATTCGCACTGTCATTAACAGCATCGTTCGATTGATTGTCCATGGCCCCATCACTGCGACACACTGGCTTTGTTTAGCTTGAGATCAAGTGCGTTAGTGGACGCTGTCTATTTCTGAGCGACTGCGGATGAACTAGCGTGTGAGCTGTTGTTGGTCCATACAGGCAGTGCGGATGGTAGCTCCCGTGTTGGACATGTCACTGGACAATGGAGCTATGGAGGCAACGACGGAATTGAGCGAAGATGAAGGTGACGAGAGTGTGCAGTGTGACGCAAGCCCCAATTCTTGACTGTCAGTCAATTTGCAGTGAGTGCTCGCCTGGCAGTCACCGATCGAGTACATGGTCAACGCTACCTACCGCAAGTGTTGTCTGGCACTCGACCGTTCCTCCGACTGGTGAGGAAGCGGAGGTGATTGTCAGCCATCCTGGGCCTTCACAGTGTTTGAAGAAGGCAGTGCGTAGGAATATACAGCCTCCAAATTGTCGCTCTCCATACACAGGTGTGTTGGCTTGAACATACGGTCCATATAGCGCAGTGTGTCTGAAGCGCCGGACAGCGCATGCTGACTGCTGCTCGCGATGCAGCCCGGGTACTGCCTGGGTATCCGTTATTACACGGGCGTTTTCCGTGCTGTGATGGGGCCGTCTGATGTTTGACATCCAGACCTCCTTGATCATCTGGGAAAAGCTTCTCCGATACTGCTCCTCGACGTGTTGCCCAAGAGTCTTGATGCAGATCTCGGACGAAACAGTCTATGTCCGGCGGTCCGAAGGCAACGCGGTGTAGATACTTCATGGTAGCAAAACCCGATCAAGAAGAACCATGTACTAGTCTTTGCAAAGCAAGTTTAACCGCTTTGGAACAACGGGCGCTTCGAAGACTGTCGTTGGCTTTGGCCAGCATGTGGATCCGTCTTTCCATCTATCACGCTCGTTGGTCATGTTTCGTCCTTCGCTCTTTAGCCACGTCAAAGACAACAGGCTCACTGCATGCTACGCAGTGGAGCTAGGTGTCCAGGTCGAGAAACGCAATCAAACCGTTGCTGTCAGGAGCTGTCTTGGCAAACACGGCTCGCTTGTCTAGAGCGCGACGTAGGTGTTATTGGAGGGACAATGCTGGTGAAAGCTGTAGAATCGCTGGCAGACAGACCGCTTGAAACGTCGCTTACTCAGACCCTGCCCTATGATTCCTGATTGTATGTAGGTTGCTGTGCTCCAGGCGGCAGGGGTTAAAAATATCTCACGGCACCCGGCCCAAGAGTAGCGCGGGGCGTATAATCCCCATGCGCTACGCCCAAAAATTTTGCCGGCGTAAGCGACCACCCAAGGCCGCTTCTCGTCGCTTTGCTACCATGCTGCGATCGGCAGCCCATCATCTCCAACGCTATGGGGAGCGCTCATTTGCCCCTCATCTGTTACCGCCTCTGATGTTGGTCCGCAGCCCGTGGGACTAGTCTGAAGGGTGGCTGTCGTTGTGGTTGCGCCCTGCACACATCGCCCGGTCGCTCTGTACGTACCATCTCAGCCCAGACGAGACATCGCTGGAGGTTGCAGAGAACTCGGTAGCCGAAGCGCTGCTGGCCGTTTGCAAGGTATCGCATTAATCGCTCGAAGGATCGTTCACAGGCGAAAGCGAAATGGCAGAAGCTTTCCTGGGACTAACCCTAGTAGGCCACTCCTCAGACCAGCGCTAGAGCGGTGCGGTCGCCATGTTGGCGGTACCTTCACCCACAAGGATTAGCTAGCCGGCCCGCGAGGCTCACTCGCTCTCCACCGCAATTGTGAATGGATTATGCACCCGGTCTGAACTGGGACCATGAACTACGGACGGTATCTCATTGGGACGAGCGCAGCAAGCGTTAGTCAAATTACCCACGTCCCATTATGACCAGCAGCAGCGACTACTCCTCTATCGGATGTCTGACCCGACGTAGCTATCTATCCTCTTGGGCATTGCAAACTTCGTCTGCGCCCCGGATCTACATTGACCAGTCGATGCCACATGGTCCACCGCTCAGCGTTCGCAATTTCTAACTTGGTCCCTTTCAGGCCGTCCTCCAGGGCCCGGTGGAGTTTCAGGCACTGCAAGATATGACAACACCGCCACTGCCCGCTACGCTTTCTCGACAAATCTGACGCCCCAGCCTTACCGTTGTGGAGTGGTCCCTAGTGCGCTCCCGGGCTAATCCTGTACACCCCGGACTAGCAGCCTTACCATACCCTAATCCCTAGAGTTTGGGTCTGTGCCTTAAGACTGGTCATTCTCACCCATCTGTTGCACTTCCCGCTTAAGACGCACTGGCCTTCTCTCTGCATGATATACAACCCGTGTTGGCTTCGACTTGCGGCCACTTGACGACCACCAGATACCCCTTCCTGTTATATCACCACCATCCTGCGAACCACTCCAGAACAACACGACACCTGGCGTCACCCACGATGACTTTCTTTTCGTCCGAAGCAGAACTAGCACTCATGGCGCCGGTTGACGGCATGGGTCACCTCTACCCCTCTAGCACATGTCAATCACCCCCCAGCATCATGTACTCACCACCACTACACCACATGGCTCATCGACCCCAAACGACCATGTCCGCACACGCAGGAATGTACACTCCACCTCAAGATTACAGACCGGTCATGGAGTCCCCATACCCACCTCACGCACTCTGGTCGACACAACCATCATCAATACCGCTACCTCAAGTAACGTCGTATTCCTACCCATCTTTCTCCGAGATGGCATCTCCTCCGATGCTTGCGCATGACTCGACGTTGCTCTCACAATCTTTCGGTGCGTCTCGACCGTCAAGATCGCACTCCACATCGTCGTCCGTAGGTCATGGCATGCCGTCCAACGTCCCCTCTGAAAGATCACCACCTGCACTGTCACGGTCGCTCTCTCCTTCCTCGCCGGATCTTCGATCCTATGGTATCCCGAACAAGAATGGTACATGGAGCTGTGCTTTCCCAGGATGCACTTCAAGAGCAGTTTTCACCCGCGGCTGCGATCTCAGGAAGCACTATAAGAGGCATACAAAGTCCTTCTTCTGCCGCCATGGTGACTGCCCACAGTCTACAGGAGGAGGCTTTTCGAGTAAAAAGGATCTTGCGAGACATGAGGCCAAGCACAACCCGGGCGTGTTGTGTGACTGGGACGGATGCGACAGGGTCTTCAGTCGTGTGGACAATATGGTAAGTCTGACATGCTTCACATGCGCAGAGCATTACTGACAATTTGCAGAGAGATCATGTCAAGCGGATTCATCTTAAAGCGTCCAGGAAATCTTCGACAACGTCCTCCTAGTTGTTGCGCTTCTGATACGACTACCGACTGTCACGTCCCACAAAACCATTGTTTCATCGCCTACGTCGTCCATACCTCTTACTCTGGTTCGAGTCATCGCCTTAAACCTTCACTAGGAGCGTCTACGGCGAAAGACAGGAGATTTACTCGCCAAGAAAAGGTCACAGACCGTTAAGACCACAAACCCTTCACTTTCGTTCATGATACCCTTATTTTGCATTCGCATTTGCGTTCCCGTTCCCATTCATCTATCACTGCAGCATTTTCTGCGTCGTCGCATTGCTATGGCGTTTCTTAAAACTAGAGAAGTTTGAGCAGAGTCAATTGGCTCATCCAAGGAGGATATAGCACGGTTGGAACGCTTGTTGGGAATTGGTGTGCATAGATGCAGATGGCGCCGCTGTTGCCTACACTAGCTTGGAATGAGTGTCGGTCAATAGCGACAATGATTCCAACATTTGGCTCATACGATTCTTTGCAACTCTTCAATTTTTCGATTGTCTCTCTAAACACGACGTCATACATAAAGCCAAACCCCATTCTCGACAACATGGCTGGCGCGATCGAGTCTACCACAGGTTGTCACGCCAGATGTCGACATGGTCGGGGGTTAATGGTCTGCGACTCCGGCCTGCTAGTGGGAGGCCTTACGGCCTTAACAAGGCTGACTTGCGGTGCCGTCCACTCATGTGGGCCGGGACCCTGGGACAAGGTGGCTGGAATGTCTCTGCGAATCACCTTTGTGCACACTACTTAGGTACGCAGGGATGATTGGCGGGCGTTCTGCTCCGTCCAGCATAGGATCGAAATGCGAATATGGCATGTTCAGCGATCGAGAGCGATGGTCGCCCCACATCGGACCAAACGACGGCATGCCGCAAGCATTCCTGTTTCGCAGCCAGTTTCGAGGAAGATGTCACCCGATGACATGGCGGTGCTATGCGGCTGCACCCTATATTCGCGATGGTGGCTATCGTCATGGTTCAGCACCAAGCCAAGCTGTTTCAAGAGTCTGGTACATGCATGCTTCCAGTCAGACCTGCACGTCAATGGATCAATAAGACGCATTACGTTAGATGAAGGCTGTTGCTACAGCTTCCAATCACATTTCATCACATGCATTGGAAGGCAGGACGCCCAAGCGGTTCCATCCCGCGAGCTTACATACGGCAGAGGACCACATGCACGATGAGGTCGACCCCATCGCGGACGCCGAGCATCCATCGATCAAAAACTCATGGTGGTTGCTCGTGACAAAAGGTGCGTCACGCTTTGCTGCTTCTCGTGCCGCGCTAGTGCACAAACAACACGATGGAGCGACTAAGTCCAATAGATTCGACGTTACGGTAACGCTTGCATATCCTGTTATTGTCTGAACATATGCGAGCTTACGGCATATGTTCCGAGCGGCAATCCTGCGGCCCTGACATGGCGCCGTTTGATGCGGCCGTTCAGCAACCAACCACGCGATTTCCATGGCCGCGGCATGGCGACGGCATGGGAGACAAGGGTCCAAGTCACAAGCACTCTGTCGTTGCTCGGACAAATTGCGACCCGTGAAGTTGGATCTGCTCGACATGGTGCTGTTGCCAGGGGTTTAGCTGTGCCGCCACGAGGTGGCTGTCCCATCTCGACATGGAGCTTACCGTACTTGTCTCCTTGTCAAGGTGTCCAACTCAAGGTGATCGGGTTGGATGCTTTCCCCTGTTCCACCGGTCAAAATTGGGGACAGGGACGTGGACCACCAGTGGCTTAGTGTGCTCCACTCTTCTCCAGTAGCTTATCTTTCTGCTGGGAAGGGTCGATCTGGGTCGCGCTACAACGAACCCTCATTTCTTCCCTCTGCGCCCTTACACGGCCCCCACGATCCGTTCTAACCTCCTCGTTACGCGCATATAGCCCTGGACCTTTGCTTTCTAGTGCGCGTTTCATCAAGGTCCCGTCACAATTGCAAGGCGCACACGACATGCCTGCGATACCGTTATTTTGAACAGCTCTCTGATGGCCTGCTCCTTTCCAGTCAACAGGTTATTGTCCGAGTGCTCCAAATCCTTCGCGGGCCATCTGCATGTTGAGTGGCCTGGCCAGTCAACCGACCGTGCATGAATATGGGGTTCCCAGCATCCTCTCGGACCCTGCCGATGATCAACGGCTTTGGGAAGGCATTGCGATGGTTGCACCGTGCGATCTTCCAGCCCTTGACGAACCGCGTTAATCTCACTGCTTTCTAGTAAGACACCACCATGCTTCATGACGTATCCGTCTGCCTTTGTTTCTGTACTCCTCCTACATCGAACGTCGGAACTCAAGAAGAGAAATAGAGGGCCCCGTCGATACTGCTAATACCCACCAGAATCCACATTTTACAGGCTGACAGATATCTTTCAAATCACAAAGCACCTATTACCATCGGATATAATGGAGACGAGTCAGGAGCCGACCCGAGTTATCCAACAACCCGATTGACTCGTGCACCAGCCAGACGGCCCCAAGTATCGCAATTCCGCGCTCGCACGCTACCAGGCCGTAGTGAGGTTGTGGCGCTGGTCTGAAGCGGAAAGGGGCGGCATACGCAAGCAAAGCGCGGAATAGCCGCACTCGTTCCTGAATGCTAACCTCGAAAGTCTCCTGCGCCTGCAGACATGCGAGCTAACGCTTTGGTGATGCACAATGGCACGGACATCTGCATCTTGTCTACAAAGGAAGGTGCAAGGGGAGGGAGTCGTGATCTGGAACACCCAACTCCGCCCGGCAACGTATGTCTCAAATGGTGCATATCGCGCGATCATGACAACCCAACGTCGCCGACTTGAGGGCGCTATAGGCAGTGCTCTGAATGGTCCTCCGAAGGTGCATGCAGCCGCGTGCATCAGCCCTGTACATTGTTCGGACCGAAACGAGCCAGGACCTTGCAACATCGAACGGCAAAAATTCGCCGTGCGTTTTCCGATCGTCAACCTGACAAGTACGCCCTTTGGATGTGTCTTCACATGCTATTGGAAAGAAAAAAGTAAAGACGATTCAAAATGAACATCTCATGCTCTGTCCAATCAACCAACGGCATTTTGAACAATGCCATCTTGCCGGAGTCAGCATGCTTCCCTAACACGACGGAGAAACGCAAAATTCGACAGCCCCCATTGTGATATTACGAACGCGTATACTATGGAGAACTATGTCTCGGCGCCTGAGCTGTACCTTCTGCTTCTACGTGTGTCCCTTGACGGAAGCTACGAGGCAATTGAAGGTAAAATCTGGAAGCCTCTCTGCATGTACTTCGAGAGATATAAGCATGTTTTTGCAGTACAATGTACGATACGGCTTTATCATGGAGCTTTGAATCTAAAACTCATAAAAAGTTCAAATGGCTGATACATAGCAAATATGGCAATGACCTAAGATTCTATACCAAGTACAACAATCTTTTCTCTGAATGTCATTGAAAATGAGCCCTTCAAAACCATTCCGTGTTACATGACGAAGCACTTACAAGAGAGAAAGTTCTCGGGGCGTCTGCAAAGAAGCGACATTGGTCTTGGATAAGATCCAGATCTTTGACAGTATCTAGAAGTTGCGGTTTCCCACTGTCACCGTATTGATGAGATTAAAGTTGGATTAAAGCTCGACGACTTCGTTAGCGTCTTTGCATATTTCGACATCGAGGAATCACTCGACTGCAGCATGAGATCATATCATGCCATTTTATTAGCCGGGGAAGAGGACGACACGGTGTAAGATCGGGTATAATACCACTATCTAGAGTGGACGAATCTGTGTTTCAAGGACAAAACAAGGCCTTTGCGATAGTAGACCTACTACCTGTTCGTTACCCTCACGAACACCTGGTCTTGGAGCGAATGTGCCGCCAGGGGCAACGGCACTTACCACACACGAGGTGAGCCATTCGGTGCTTTCCAAGCATGTCTAGACACAATCCAATCTTCTCCATTTGCACAAGATGGCTGAACCCCTCCACCTCCAGAATCATACACACGATACCCACAAGCAAAGTCACACTACGGTTAAACCCAACGGTCGGGATCCCGGATCACGCACCGAACTAGCGGTTAGTGTAGCGCGGCGTGGGGTCCAAAAGCTGCGCCAGCACGCGCCTCCGAAGCTTTCCTGCTTGGAAGAAAATCCAGCTGAGCCGTGCGGCGTGCTAACCCCTGCTGGCGTGCCCTGGCCGCGAAGAATGCCGCAACGGGTATGATGCTGCGAGCCAGGTGCACATGTGGGTTTTGACGAGCAGGCTAGACTCGAGTGGATAATGCCTGCGCACTCGATGGGGAACTGCACTGGGTACAGGGGTAAGCGGAGCCCGCGTGTCGTGAGTTCCGATCCTGAAGCGCATGCTTGTTGCCGCCTTGGATCGTCTTTGTCGGGATGGACAGGACTGGGCTGGGACCGGAGTTAGGTTTGTGTGAGCGAGATTGAAGTGGTCGGGATTTTTCTCGGGCACAGGCGGAGGGAGCGTTGTCGGGTCGCTTGTCGCGTATCGCTTGGACTTGCTTGCGCAGGAGGAATTTAGCTTTGCTTTGTGCATGTGGGATACTTCTTACTGTGATTGCGTTGGTGCAGTGTGTGGATAGCAGAGACACACTTTGCTGTGTCCACTGTTCGGAGAACGGCGACTTGAGATACGGCGTAGTCAGGTAGTGGCTCTCGCATATTCGCATAACGTATATCTTCAACAACAGACGTACCTAGGTACCTCGCCGATACTCAGAGTTCGTCCAACATGACCATCTCCGACAACGAGTAGCCTTTTCGACGGCGGATCGGTCCCAAAATGGGAATCCGTCATCCAAGATCTACCACATCGACTCGAAAACACACTAGAACATCATGCACCTTCTTCGCTACACATGTAGTCTAACAAGGACCA